GCCACATGCTCTTGATGAAATTCCCAACCAAAGCTAGTGTGGGATATGTGAAGGGTGATTAAAAAAAAAAAGCTAGGGAGTGTTACGTCGTGGCATCCAAGCAGAAAGGGAAGAAAAAGATGGAGATGTATGCCATCGAAAGAGATGGGATAGATGGTGGGGTCGAGATCGACCCACGAGAAGGTATAAGTAAAAAACAAGCAATGTCAAGAAAGGACTTAGTAGATGAATGACGTGATCAGGCTCAACTGCACAATGCCTCATACCAGCCACATGTAGTTCGCTACTACAACTCTCATGTCAAACACCGAGCTTTCCAGGATGGTGACCTAGTACTCCGCAAGGTCATGATTGCTGCTCGCAAACCCGCATATGGAAGCTCGGGACTGACCTGGAAAAGGCCTTACCGTGTCATTGACGTTGTACACCCTGGCGCTTATTGACTAAGGGATCTCCGGGGAGCAAATTTACCTCATCCTTGGAACGCGGAGCATTTAAAGAAGTATTACTAGTGACTTCATCATCATCTACATGCTATCATAGTTAAATCATCAGTTCGAGATTTAGATTTTTCGTTTTGTTTCTTTTCATTCGGTGTGGAACTATCCTGTTATGATAGTTAATGAGGTCGTTTTTTAGTTTTTCAACTCAGTCAGCCAGCATTCGAGCTCGCTCTTGTTTTGTTTTTAACTTTTTTTGGTAAACGTGTTGTCTCTCCAAGCCTCAACAAGGTAACTCAAAGCGCCATATTCAAGTCAAGAAGGAATCAAGCTCCATAGATTTGCCAAGCTCAGATAGACGAAAGGTCCGAGCCACAATTTTTATCAAGCTCACGTGGACAAAAGGTCTGAGCTATATTTTTTATCGAGCTCATATAGACAAGAGGTCTAAGCTCAATTTTGGCCAAGCTCATATGGACGAAAGGTCCGAGCTATAGTTTTTATCAAGCTCTGATGGACGAAAGGTCCGAGCTACATTTTTTATCAAGCTCCAAATGAAGAGTCTGAGCTATATTTTTTATTGAGCTCATATAGAGGAAAGGTCTGAGCTCAACTTCGACCAACCTCATATGCATGAAAAGTTCGAGCTATATTTTTTATCAAGCTCATGGGGACGAAAGGTCTATGCTGTATTCTTTATCGAGCTCATACGAACGAAAGGTCTAAGCTCAATTTTGGCCAAGCTTAGATGGATTAAAGGTCCGAGCTATATTTTTATCAAGCTCTGATGGACAAAAGGTCCAAGCTACATTTTTTATCAAGCTTTGGATGAAGAGTCCGAGCTATATTTTTTATCGAGCTCATACGGACGAAAGGTCTAAGCTCAATTTTGGCCAAACTCAGATTGACGAAAGGTCGAGCTATATCTTTATCAAGCTCAGATGGACGAAAGGTCCGAGAAACATTTTTTATCAAGCTCCGGACGAAGAGTCCGAGCTATATTTTTTGTTGAGCTCATATAGACAAAAGGTCTTAGCTCAATTTCGACCAAGCTCATACGGACGAAAAGTTCGAGCTATATTTTTTATCAAGCTCATATGGACGAAAGGTCCGAGCTATATTCTTTATCGAGCTCATACAGACGAAAATTCTAAGCTCAATTTTAGCCAAGCTCAGATGGACGAAAGGTCTGAGCTATATTTTTATCAAGCTTTGATGGATGAAAAGCTCCGAGCCCAACCTTTCCAAGCTCATGCTCAGGTTGGCAAAGAGCCAACCTTAGCTCACCAAGCTCATGGTCAGGTCGGCAAAGAACCCACCTCGCCATGCCAAGCTCATGGTCAGGTCGGCAAAGAACCCACCTCGCCATGCCAAGCTCATGGTCAGGTTGGCAATAAGCCAACCTCAACTCGTCAAGTTCATGGTCAGGTTGGCGAAGAGCCCACCTCGCCATACCAAGCTTATAGTTGGCGAAGAACCCACGTCACCATGCCAAGCTCATGGCCAGGTTGGCAAGGAGTCAACCTCAACTCGCCAAGTTCATGGTCAGGTTCCTCGCCATACCAAGATCATAGTCAGGTTGGCGAAGAACCCATCTCACCATGCCAAGTTCATGGTCAGGTTGGTGAAGAACCCACCTCGCCATGCCAAGCTCATGGTCAAGTTGGCAAGGAGCCGACCTCCACTTCGGCATGCCAAGCCCATGGACAGGTTAGCGAAGAACCCACCTCACCATGCCAAGCTCATGGTCAGGTTAGCGCAAAACTGACCTCAACTCGCCAAGCTCATGGTCAGGTTGGCAAAGAACCCACCTCGCCATGCTAGGCTCATGGTCATATTGGCAAAGAAAGGACCTCAACTCGCCAAGCTCATGATCAGGTTGGCAAGGAACCGAACTCAAATCGCCAAGTTCGTGGTCAGGTTGGCGAAGAGCCCACCTCGCCATACCAAGCTTATAGTCAGGTTGGCGAAGAACCCACCTCACCATGCCAAGCTTATAGTCAGGTTGGCGAAGAACCCACCTCGCCATGCCAAGCTCATGGCCAAGTTGGCAAGGAGTCAACCTCAACTCGCCAAGTTCATGGTCATGTTGGTGAAGAGCCCACCTCGCCATACTAAGATCATAGTCAGGTTGGCGAAGAACCCATCTCGTCATGCCAAGCTCATGGTCAGGTTGGCGAGCGCCAACCCACCTCGCCATGCCAAGCTCTTGGTCAGGTTGGCGAAGAACCCACCTCGCCATGCCAAGCTCATGGCCATGATAGCAAAGAACCCAACTCGCCATGCCAAGCTCATGGTCAAGTTGGCAAGGAGCCGACCTCCACTTTGGCATGCCAAGCCCATGGACAGGTTAGCGAAGAACCCACCTCGCCATGCCAAGCTCATGGTTAGGTTAGCGCAAAATTGACCTCAACTCGCCAAGCTCATGGTCAGGTTGGCAAAGAACCCACCTCGGCATGCCAGGCTCATGGTCATGTTGGCAAAGAAAGGACCTCAACTCGCCAAGCTCATGATCAGGTTGTGTAATACACCGAAAAATTAAAGGTGGGTTTTCATATTTTAGTGAAAAATAATATAATGGTGGAGAATGATTATGGGTATTTTATCAAGTGATTTTGGATTGAGATTATTAAATTAAGTATGTTTAATTTCAAGTTGGACAAACATGACCAAAATACCCCTATGTGTGGATAATTACCAAAATACCCTTGTAGAAAAAAATAATAATAATAAGAAGTAGGAGGTAACGTGTAAGTCAAGCCTTTCTTCCCTCCTTCATTCTTCTCCCCCTTGCCTCAAGCTTTCATATCCACCATTTATGAAAGGATGAGTTACCTAGTATAAAATGGTGAGTCACCTAGCCTAATTAAGATTCTTAAATCATAAAATTATTCTCTTCCTTCCCATTCATTGTATCATTACTCTCTTCTAACTTGATGACTCACCTAGCCTAAGGCTCTTCAATCATGAATTTACTCTTATCCTCATTATTCATTGTATCATCCCTTTCTTCCTCATTCACCTTATTTTCATCCTTATTCTTCTTTTGTTCCTCTTCAAAATCCAAAATTCGTCACTTCCTTGGAGCAGCCGAGAACTCAAATTTTGGAAGCTCAAATGAGAAAACTTTCTTCATAAAAGTTGTTCATTTACGTGATTCCTATAACATACTCATATTTCAGCTTAATCCGACTAGTATATGCTCGGAAACGTTGGTATGATCACAATAAGTTTACCATTTCCTGATTTCACAGCAGTAAGTTCGGTTTCAATATGTTTCTGTGATTTCCTGTACTCAAATGACTTTGGTTCCTTCATCAACGTTGTTTGAAATTTTGTCTATTATAACATATCAAAATGTTAGGTTGATCGGACTTCTATAGCCACCTTCGGAATGTTTAGAGTGGAACTTGTTTGTAGTCTTCAACCCTAGTTCCTTTCCTCGTTTTCAGTCCAAAACACTCATTTTAAAAGCTCAAAACACTATGGTTTCCTCATGATAGTTACTCCAAATTCTCCTCTTTATAACATATCCAAAGGTCATCCAAACGCAAGCATTATAACTCTTTGAAAATTGGTATGAACAAAACTTGTAAATTGATTATATTGAATTTCTTGTTATAGATGTGTACTTTCTCTCAAATGGCTTGTTCCTTATCATTCCATTGATAAAATTAGCCACTATCATCTCAAGTAAATGATTATTTGAATGTATGAAGCTCATCTTCATATTGTCTCTTTGAGTACTAGTTATAAACCAAGTGTTGGTTAGAATGCCGCAATGACATATATATATCTTTCGAAGTGTGTTTTTGTGAAGTTCTAGATTATTTCGATGTGATTTTGTTCCAATTTTATTATGGGATTTTGTTACATCAAAATGATTATGTCAAGGGTTATTTCAAAGTTGGTTTTGTGCCATTTGAATTTAAATTGATTTTTTTTGTGAAATTTCAAAGTAGAGACTATCCTGCTGGAATTGTTTTGATTCTGCTGAATACCCTGTTTTGAATAAGTGTTTGAAAACTTCCTAAACTTGGATTTTTATGAAATTTTAGTATGTTTTACTTTCTCGTATTTTCTTCAGATCTAGAAAGTTTTATCCAGTTTGGTTGTAAATTATAATTTTGGTAATTTTTCAAAATAAAGTGTACAAACCTGAAAAAAAAAACAAAAACAAAAACAAAAGAGCGTTATTACAAGGAAAATCCCTTTTAGCGACGAAACCAGTTGGTCGCTATTACATGATATTTCGTCGCCAACGATAAATAGCGACGAATATTTTTGGTTGCCAAGGTCGTTGCTGCAATTATTTAGCGACGAAATATATGTTTGGTCGCCAAAGATGGGAGTTTATTTGTGGAATATGTTAGTGGGTTTACTGAATGGGCGACGAACAGATTGGTCGCTAAAAACTGCTGTCAGATTGAGCGACAAAAAGAAATTCGTTGCCAAAAGTGTATAGATTATTTTTTTTTTTGAAATAAAAATTTGTGTCAAGCTTTGTAACAGAATATTATTTAGTCCATAAAGTTTCTGAAAAACACTAAATAGATGAAATTAATAAAAATCGCATAATTACTGTTCAGAAGATACTAGTTTAAGCATACATCAATGTAGCTAGATACAAAAAACCCCAAGGTATGCTAAAGATACAAAAACCATCAAGTAGCTAGATATAGAAACCCTCTAGAACCCCCCAAGGTATGCTACATATAAAAACCATCAAGTATGTAGATGTACACACAACCTAATGAATATTTACAATATCATCAAGATCATCATAAACATTACGTGAACCACCACTATTACCTTGATCACCATCACAAGAAGAATCACCAGTATGCTGGGATGGAACATCTAAATGTGAGGGTACAGGACCGCATCCACTCAATGACATTCAAAAGTTTACCCACTGTGCCAGCTCACAAACTATGCCTTTCAACTCACCAACTGTGCCTTGAAGTTCCTCAACCTTTTTCTCTGTAGCAAAAGAGGAGGCAACTCGACCACTATGCGAACTCTCCACTCGGAGACTAGAACCCAAGCCTCGAATCCTCTTGCCCTTTGCAACCCCAAGTTCTGCAGTCATGATCTCTAACTGTTGTGGGATAGGGAGTGCGATTTGATCTAGTGGAGTTCCTAAACTCTCTGCCACTTGTTGCTTGGCCTTCTTATACTCTTCATACATCTTCTACAAAAAGAAGCAAAATAAAGATATGTCAATATTATAAATGCATAAAAAGAATGAAGTGAATGGGATGCTAGTACCACCAATGGCGTTCATAAATTAGCAGTGCCAATTATCCAAATCAGTCACAAACAAAAATTAAATCAACTTGAAGCAAATAATAAAATGAAAATGCACATAAAAAATGGAATATATCTCTTTGGATATACAGATTGCAGAAAGTTTGAAAATACTCACAGGTCTTATAAGATCCTTTTTCTGCATCTCCCCAAAGAACAATACAAACAAGAAACTTCGAAAAACAGGGATTATAAATATTTTCCCAGCAACATGGCCCCCTTATAATTGGGCCTAAATTTGAACTTCTAAGAGCACAACGGGTTATTAGAGCTGAATTTGTTTAATTGGAGTTTGGAATTGGGCCTCCAAAGAGGAAGAGAAGTACAACTGCAGGCAGCTCAGTTTCAAAACAATCTTAGCATGCACGTTATTTTGGTCATCAATATATAAGATCATGGAAAATTTAGAAAACTTACACATATCTTCTTTGTATTTCTAATTAATTAGTTCTATTTGCAATGGATAAAGTCTTTATATGATGCTAAAACCAAGGTACACAATTAGCATCTAAAATAATGGGTCGTCAAAAACTTGCATGACCAGTCGGCTGATTTTGTTTTTGATTGCAGATTATAAACTAAAAAGCCATGAAGAGTACATGCATGTCACATATATATGCAAGTCAATAGTTAATTGTCAGCAGGTTTATGTATTCCTTACCCCTTTAATTTCAGCAGCCTCATTGATCGACAGGCTCTTATCCTTACACATACACATGTTGTTCCAGTAGCTAATGTATGTAGGATTTTCACCCTTCTACATTTTCCCAACAAAAAGAAAATGAGAAATACTTGAAATTATTACAATATAATAAATAAAGAAAGATTTCAAGTGGCCTAAAATTATAAACCTCTTTAACACCATCCATGTGTTTTAGGAAAGAATGTGACCCCATGTATATATGATCAAACTTCTTTTTTCTTTTTTTTTCTCTGTTCTCAGCATTGGCCTTGCAACATTTCTGTTTTGATTATATACATGAATTGTTAATTTTTTTTTTCTTTTTCTATTTGATACTTAGAATAAGTTCCCAATCAAAAAATGAAAACTGCAGATGTTATGAGACATTAAATACCTGATATTACTCATTTGTGTACAATGTATCAACCAAATAATGTCACTCTTCTAGAGTCCTTCGAGTACCAAACATCTTTTCAGGGGGAGGTGTTGCTCGTGCAAGTTAGGATCCGTTAAGTCCACATCAAACATGAACTAATATCAATTAACCATAAACAAAACAAGTATTAGTTATAATTTTTCAATGCAAATAGAAACATTGACTCACCCTTGTATATATTGCCACAAGCTTTTTATTTGCAAGTCCCTGAATTATGAATTAAGTTGCACATACTACAAAGCAGTATTAGATAAGATTACCTGCAATCCCAATGCCATATCTTTCTTAGACTCCAAGCTCACTTTTTTCATCCCTAAAACATTCAATGGAGCTTTATTGCGAGTGATTAACCCAATCTCAGAGACGAACAGTTTCTAAGCCTCAATAGTTGCCACCAATTTCTGGGATGGATCCATCCGTATTGGAAACAAACTCTTCCTCTTTTTAACAACATCACAAGTGCCAGCTCCCACAGTTCGGCAACGAGTGTTCTTCCCCTGTGAAGAAGTCTGAGTATGCGTTCCCTCATCTAGAAGACAAAAATAAAAAAATCAGTAACTAGAGTGCACAAAATAAATATATAAAAATTAAGAGCACAAAATATTGTATCAGTTACCCCGTTGGCGAGAACCCCCTCCCGAGGCTGATAAAGTACCTTGTTGTGGCTGAGTTGATTGTTGTTGTGGCAGCTGACATGGTTGCTCAAGTGGCTGTGGTGGCAGTAGAGTTGAAGTTTTTCTTCTTCTTATTGTTATTGTTGCTTAAGGTAGTAGCCCTCTTAAGTGTCATTCTGCACATTTACAAACACATAAACAAAGAGAGAATACATCAACATGCTACTAGATCATTCCCTGAAAAAAAAAAAAAAATAACCAAATGATTGAACATCATACTTCGGCTGTTATGACATCGATTCTCATCACAAACATGCTTGAGATAGACTTATTCATCAAAAAATGATTGAACATCTCTAACACACCTTGTCTCCGTCTCCTTATACCTCATATAATGGGCCTTGTCCAATTCAATCAGTGATGACTTGAAGCAGTTTCAAAATTTCATAACATGATTAGAAAAAACACTTATATAGATACAAGCAAATAACTCTTTCACAGATTGACAAGCTAATAACTCTAGATTGACAAGCTAATAACTCTTTCACAGGAAAATTATAAAAAGAGAGATTCCACATTAAATATGTTTTTTAAGGGTAAGTATCATGGTAACAATTTTTTTTTTTTATACAATTCTTTCCACATTACTTTGCACAACTTAGCTAAACCCATGAAACCAGTAAAAAAAGAAATGAAGGCAGGCGCAAGAATCGTAGCTATTCATACCTCTTAAGCAAATATAGCCTCTTAAGAAAGTATTTCAAACAACCTATTGCAAACAAAAGTTATAAAATAAAAATAAAATAAAATAAAACAATTAGACATAATAAACCCATGACACAAGTCAGAAAAAAAAGAAGAAGCCAGAAGCCATATGCTCGTGTAGTATATGAATGATCTGAAACTAGTAATTAGGCTCTTCATCTCAATTCCAAAACAAATTATTATTCTTTACAGTTTTTAATTATATATGCCCTAAATGATGACAAAAACCATTTCAAAATTAACAAAAATGTACCCTTGAAGCTAATTGAATTACCTTGCATAAAATTCAAGCAACCAGTGATCATCACATAAAGCCAAAATGGTTCGTTAAAAAAGAAAAAAAAAAAAGGTGGCTGGAAGTGCTTGAAAAGGATTTCCAAAACAATCAAACCAGAATTGAAGGATGATACTCCATCAGTTAAATTCTATCATCCAATTAAGTGGTACTACACTCAGACACCAATGCTATAAGGGAAAGAAAAATAATTGCTAAACTGACGAGTTAATCTATGGGACCATGACCCTGCAGCTAGCTTATATATAAATATAGAGACAACTCTACAGCTAGCTTATATCTAAACTATAAAGAGAACTCAATAAGCTACATTGGCAATAATAATAACAACAACAAAACCATAAGCTCACAGACAAAGGCAAAGAAACCTTGAAACGAACACACACCCACATGACCAACTTCCAACTTCTAACTTTTTACTTAAATTATATAAATGAATTGTTATATTCTTTCTTCCCACGGATAGTAAAGAAATTCAGATTTAATCCAGAAGTATCAAGCAAACATTCATGACTTGGAAAACAATCAATCAGACTCAAAGCATTAAAACATAAAAAATGAAATAAATAATGGGTACGTGTGCAAGTGAATCATCTCAAATTTGACTCAGAACCCACATCAAATGGAAAACAGGGCATTCATATCAAACACAAAACCCTACTCAAATTTGACACAGAACCCACAATAACTACTTGAAAAAGGAAAAGTCATTTTATTCAGAATACTTGGACAATTGAATGTTCAAGCATTTAAGATATCAAAAAGGAAAAATCAAGCACTGAAATCAGGTCTGATTTAAATTCCTGGGTATCTATTTCGGATTTTCCTTGGTTATTTTCTCAGCAACCAAATGAAATCTACAACTGAAAATCAGAGCTCAAAAGAAAATGAAGGTAAGCGAGACAAGGTAGACTCACCAGAAGCTTGCCGCTGAAACACATAGTGAGGAGGATGTCGGAGATGGAGTTTTCAGATGGCCGTCGATTTCTGACACTGGTATGGAAAGGCGGGCGAGATGGAGGATCTCTTTGCCGACGTCGGTGGAGGATTGCTTTGCCAATGTCAGAGCAGCGGAGAGCGGGTCTGAGAGGAAATAACGAGTTGGGAATTACTTATTTTTTATGTTTGTATTTATACTCTCTAGATTAGCCCCAAAAACTATTTGGTCGCCCTTTAGATAACATATATAAAACTAAGTCGTTTTATGGCTTAAATTTTCCAAGCACGATGGACTGCGACGAAAAACAAGTGGTCGCCGACCCCACAAAATTTTTAAGCGCGAATTCTAATTTAGCGACAAAACAATGAACCTCAGCGACCAAATATTTTTGTCGCCAAAACTTTTAGAGTTTCGCGCGAACACAATTCAGAAATTCACGACCAAATATATATTTGGTCGCCATGACCTAGTCTACCCACCAAAATCTTTCGTCGCCCTTTCAAAGAAATTAGTCTCTATTTAGTTGACTCAAGTCATCACGGATATCTAAATATCACGAACCTTTTTGCAACCAATTGGAATCGTTTCGTCGCTGATATCCCTTTTTGGCCACCAAAATATGGTTCGTCGCTAAATATTTCGTCGCAAAAAAGGTTTTTCCTTGTAGTATGCAGCCTAATCTATTTTGGTTTCTATTTTGACATGCTTCCTTAACCCTAATCTTTATCAAATTTTGACATTTTTAATGTTTCTATGTCTAGTTGTGATATGGAAAGTTTTATATTATTTTGATTTGAACTCAATATTTAGTGAATTTTCAAAGTTAAAGTGTTCCAACCCAAATGTTTAGCAAAACTAAAATTTTTGTTTTAAATTGATGTTTTAAATTTTCTTTATGAGTCTAGAGCCGAACCACCTGATTTTAAACATCCCAAATAGTAGAACTATTACAGGAGGGGAATAGATTAGTTTTTCCTTAACGCTTGGTTCTATGCTTGCTTGGATGTGAAGTTAAGGGAGTAACAATTGGGTCAAACAACTTGTCAAGTGTATTATGGGGTTTCAGGTCTATGTGCGCTAGTAGGACACTCAAATTTGTTTCCTTATTTCCAGTGAATTTTAATCAGTAAATTATCTTAACTAGGTGTTCTACTCTGCGTATTTTTGAGGACGAAACCGCACAAGGTTAAGCTAGTTGGACATGAGGTAGGGTTTCCTGATTTCCCGATGATTGGGCTATGTCACTTTTAATCTTGGTGCTTATATATATTACTATAAATATGAATATTATTGTTGATTTGTTCGGTGAATATTATTTGATGTTATATGAATATTATTATTGATATTTCTTCGTGAATATTATTTGACGTTGGGTGAATATTATTATTCATGTGATTAAATCTAAAATAATATTGTTATTATATGTGTTATTATTCAGTAGAGATAAATGATGTTTGCATTGCATTACATATGCATCATAAAGACAGTGCTGTTGGGGGTGTGTGTGTGTTGTTTGAGGTATATCTAAGGGGTGGGAGAAGGCCTTAGATATATCTAAGTAAATAAAATGTGGAATATATTCAAGTGACGGGAGCAGAGCTTGAATATATTGAGGTGATGGGAGCAGAGCCTCTAATGAAAAGTGAAAGTTGAGAAATTCGTAAACAAAAAAAATATGGGTTAAGGGATGGATGGGCGCTAGTTCATATTCTATGGTATTCGGAGCCACAGTGGTAAAACGCATGGTATGGGACATGCAGGCTTGTTGCCCTAAGGTATGAATTAGTGGGATTAGAAGGGAGTAAGTTCATGGCATCACCGCATATGCAAATTTATTTATCTGGTATGATTGCATAATTTATATATCTTGTGTTGTTTGATGCATGACACTTTGATTAACTGTGATAGCTGACCTTTAGGGGTTTGACGGTACTCTACTGGGCATTAGAATGCTCATACCCTAATAGATTGTGAAGGATTCATGGCGAAGTTTGAGGGAGCGGGTTTCAACCAAGCTACCAGGCTTTTGTTGTTGATTTTTGTAATTAATATTTGTAAGTAGTCAACCGTTTGATAAAAATCTTAATGTGTATTTAACTACGAGCTACTGCGACTCTGATCCTGTGTTGTTAAGTAAATTTGTATTTATTTGTGGCTCTTTTTCTCATCATATCATGGTTGTAGGATTTTATTCTTATGATTATGGTATGACTCACACCCTGATTCGGGAATATTCCTTATTTTCGAATCGGGTCGTGACAGGTTGTCAAGGAATCGACCTCAAATCGCCAAGCTCATGGTCAAGTTGGCGAAGAACCCACCTTGTCATGCCAAGCTCATGATCAGGTTGGCCGGAAAACCAACCCTAAATTGCCAAGCTCAGCCTCATGTTGGTGGAGATCTGACCTCACGATATGCCGAGCTTAGCCTTAAGTTGGCAATGGTCCAACCTGGAGACTCGTGGACCTCAATTGAGCTTCCTTTACTAATACCATCACGATACGTGGCATCTATACCATTAGTCGATTTACACATAAGGTTGTGTTTCTTCTTTGCACGACAAATTATTACTTTCTTCACTACTGCCCAAGTCCATTTGCGACGCTTTTTTATGGAGACTTGGGGACTCTTCATGGTGCCGATATGTGACTTACCAAAAAAATTTATGATACGATTTAATATTGTCAGCTCGGCCAAATTATCAAAGTGGAACTCCCCACACAAAACTCTCTTGTCTGGGGACTTGGGGGACTTTTTGTTTGTGAGGTAAAATACCTCTAGGCCGAGCTGGGCCAGAGCACGGAGTTAGTGGTCGAGCTGGGCCAGACCACGGTGTTAGTGGTCGAGCTGGGCCAGAGCACTGTGTTAGTGGTCGAGCTAGGCCAGAGCACGGTGTTAGTAGTCGAGTTGGACCAGAGCACGGTGTTAGTGGTCGAGCTGGGCCAAACCACGGCGTTAGTGGTCAGGCTGGGCTTGAGCCTGGTCACCATATATTTTTCCGTCCCAATTTGTATGGGCTTGTGGTCCCATTGGTCCTTGAGTTCAAGCTCGATGCACATGAGGTTGGTTTACGTAGTGTTCACTCAAAGGACTTCTAGTCCTAAAGAAGTTGGGATATTTCGGGATCACCAAGACGCTTATCTAAATAGAGTCCTAGTCCGAGGAGGGTTAGGTTGTTCTGGAGTCCTAGTTCGAGGAGAGCTGGTTTGCTTTGGAGTTCCACTCCGAGAAGGATTAGGTCGTCTGGGATGATATAAAAGGCTATTAAGGCCCAAAAAAATCACGAGAAGGCCAAAGACATTTAAAGCCCAGTATAACATATAATGTTGGTCATGCGTTAATCCAAGCTATATTTTGGGAATTAATTCATTAAATAAATAATAGTGTCAATGCCATGCGAAGCCAATAATACATTTTCATATGTCAATCACCTACCAAGCTCACATGAACCCAAGTCATGTTGTTTATGGGGCTTGCATGAGGGATTGTGGTGTGGAAGGTTATGGAGATCCACAAGGCCCACAGAAGCTCTTGGATAATGGAGACTTTGGGCTAGCTGCTTAGGAGCACCAAAGTCCAAGCCCATTACTTAGAGTTCTCCAATGTGGGTGTGCAAATGAGATATTTTTCAAGCACTTCCTTTAACCCATAGGAAATAGTCATTTTCCAAATGTCTAGCTTTACCCGTTGGAAACAAGACTTTTCCAGCACTCCCTATTACCCGCTGGAAACAAGCCATTTCCAGCGCTTCCTTTTACCCATAGGAAATAATCTGTTTACAGTACCTAGCTTCACTTGCTAGAAAATAGCATGCCCCGGTGCTCCCTTTTAACCATTGGAAATAGGCTAGTTCCAGCACCTCCCTGTTGGAAATAAAGGAAAACCCTCACCCTCTATAAATTGACATTCATGGCTCAGGCAAATGGGACCAATTTTTCTTCAGCCATCAAGCCCCTCATTCGGATGCTGCAAGCAACACAGCAGCCATCAACCCCCTTCTTCAGCCATTAGGCCTGTCCTTTAGTTGCTGGAGCGGCACAAAAACTTCTTGCTTTTACTGCTACAAGCATCCCAGCAGCCATCAACACCCTTCTTCAGCCATCAGACCCTTCCTTTAGCTGTTGGAGCAGCACAACAACTTCTTGCTTTGGCTGCTGCAAGCATCCCAGCAGCCATCAACCCCCTTCTTCAATTATCACACCTCCTTCTTAGCTGTTGCAAGCACCCCAGCCATAACCTCCTCTCCTTGAAACCACTCTCCCTATATAGCCTCACCAAGCATAACTCCAAGCTTTTCCTTCCTCCTCATATCCTTCCAAGCTATAAACACCATAGCCTTCAAGCCTCAAGCTTTTCTTTCCATCCTCCTTCTCTTGAAACTCTTAAATCCATAAAGCTTCATCAAGCATAACTCCAAGCTTTTCCTTCCTTCCAAACTATAAACACCATAGCCTTCAAACCTAAAGCTTTTCTTTCCATCCTCCTTCTCTTGAAACTCTTAAATCCCCATAGCCATAGCCATAAACAACAAATTATCAACACCCAACCTCAAGCATATCCAACACCAAGCCAAGCACAAGCGCTCTCATTTGCTAAACTTGTGGGTCTTTAGCTCCCACACTCTAAGCTCTCATGCCAAGCTCACACAATCTCGGTTTAACATCAATGCACCATCTCCAACTCTTCGTCTAGCTGCCGGAAACATCAGCATAAAACACGCAGACACTGGAAGAAGAACAGAGTACTCCCCCCGGACTTGCTTCTCCCTCGGGATGCTTTGGGCCTAGTTCTCACTAACTCAAAAAAAAAGGGCAACGAAGGCTTGATTCATCACTCTATGGCGATCCAAGAATCAACAAGCTCGGACAAGCCTTTCGACGGAAAAGACCCCAACAAAGGCTAAGGCCATCCTCCGTGAAAGGGACGCAATTCTAAGCACTAGAACCTATTGTGCAATTTTACTCTCAAACAATCGACTGACTTAAGCATCAGAGGGTCCTTAGTCGGCACCACACTGGTGTCACCCACTGAAGCTATCTTGTTTTACAGGTTCTGGAGGACGACTTGGTTGGTCAAGCTGACCTAGTCCGGAATAATTGCCCAACCTCGATCTCGAAGAGGTCATTT